GGGAGAAGAAGAAGAAGAAATCGGGGAGAAGAAGAAAAAGAAATTGGAGAGAAGAAGAAAAACAAATCAGGGAGAAGAAGAAATCGGGGAGAAGAAGAATAAGAAGAAATTGAGGAGAAGAAGAAGAAATTGGGGAGAAGAAGAAGGAAAAATCGGGGGAGGAGGAGGAGGAGGTGGGAGGAGGGGATGGGGAGGGGGGAGGGAGATGGGGAGGGGCAGGGGCAGGGGAAGGGGAAGTGGAAGGGGACGGGAACGGGGAAGGGGAAGGGAAGAGGAAGAGGAGGAAGAGGAGGAAGAGGAAGAAGAAGAATAAAAAGAAGAAGAATAGGAGCGATCCTTTTCGATCAATGTAATATCATTGTTAATGGGTTTCTACTCCATTTTCTTTCTATTTATCTTGTTGAAACTGTCTGAATCAATAGTGCATCTATATTCCGCATATCTGGGAGTCACATTTATTTATAAGAAATTTTCCTAAAGAGAAGTAAGAACGTTTACAAATTCCAAAATAAAAGTGTCGTGTTTTTATTCTTTAAATTGGAGTAATTATTGCTAAACTTGGGTAACACTGTCACTTTTGATAGTATACTATCTACTATGTTTAAAGTCTGATAATGCCATAACACAGCAGTACATTTATAGGATGATAGTAACTTTCTCCAATTTAAGGAAGAAAAAAACAGCAAACTTATTTTAGAATTCACAATCACTTTTACTCTTATTTCAGAAATTTCCCCTTTATTAATTCATGTGATAACACATTAACACATACAAACATTTTTGAGTGAACACATACAAACAAATTATTAAATGCTTTTTTGTATTTGCATTTACAATGTATAGAATTCACCGCATGAGATACTTTACTGTCGTAGTACTAATTTTTACTCCCTCCGGTTCTTCCAACTCCTGGTTTGACTTGACATGTTTTAAGAGTGAAAATATTTTGATTTTGACTTTCCTAAAATGCCCTTTACTATAGCGTTTTACCCCTACTGCACATAGTAAAAAACTCAAACATTATCATTAAGAGAGAGAGAGCACTACAAAAGTAATTTACATGCGCAAAAGCCGAAAGTACTGCATGAGTACTTTACATCCATTAATCCAATTGTACTTTCCCTCCAAATAAAGAAAAAACAAAGGAAGCTTCAAACCCCCCACATTCATACCTTTTCCCTTATTGTTTTTTAGATTACATCCAAAGTATTGTCACACTATAAAACACCCACATTGAATACACCCCAACTACCTATAGTTTTACAATATTCTTCTACTTCTACTTGAATACTCTTCTTTCCAAAAATGGATGGTGAAAGGACGAGCTTATTCTCAGCACCTGTGTGGTCCTTTAGACTTGAATGTAGAGCCCCTACCAGAACAAAACATCTGGCCCATGGCACAAAAAGATATCCACACTTCTGCCATTGTACCTGCATAACCACACATATACATAGTAGAAGTAGACAATGAAGGACAAAGCAATGAAACAATGACTAAAAAATTGCGTAAGATGTCCCTAGAAAGTAGAAGTTGAATCAGTGAAAGTCGTTGGGCAATGCTTTTGAGGGAAAACTTCATAGGGGTATTATAAGTCCGTTAGCTATGATTTCAACATATCTATGCTGACAAATTGTGCCAAAAAGCAAAACAACAAATGAAAAGTGGAGAAGCCATCAATGTGCAAAGTAGGTTGAAAGGAAATGTAGGACAAAAAAAGCAGTTTTGACAAGTTACTCATGCTGAAGGTACTCTCTCAAGATTTCTGAGTTGATGACGAAGAGTTCCTCAAAGTACCAATTTGAGTGAAATTTCCAAACTTACCAATGAAACTTTGGAATGAGGAAGCAATGAGTGAGGTAGCATCTATGGTCGGGGTGCTGCTAAACACGGACAAAATTACCCAAGAAAGGGATAACCACCATTTTGCTAGAGTTTTAATAGAAGTTGATGTGTCCAAACCACCACCTCTCTCATTTCCCATACATCTACCATCCCGAAAGGTTATTGAGCAATCAATGGTGTATGAAACTTTCCCAAATTTTTGCTTTCATTGCAAAGAATATGTACATCATCCATTTATTTGCAAAAAGTTAGCAAAGAAATACAAGGGAGATTCTAAAAACACTGAAGATTTGGTTGAAGAAACACATGTTAAGGTGGGAACCTTTGTGACTCCCCAAGAGAAAAAAGGCGAGAAAGAGACCCAAAACTTAGTGTCGGAAGGCTCAGATACTGAACGACAAGTTGGGGAGGCACATGTGATAGCAGAATCTAAGGAACATGTTACCTTAGAGACCCCCCCCCCCCCCCGAGGACAACTTGATGACTAGAAGTCAATAAAAAACGCTTTAAGATGACGAGAACTATTACATCTACCCGATCTATTCAAATATGACTCGCCTCAAAAGCTTGTAACAGGACTCAAATGTTATAAGACTTTACATCCGGATGCAAAAAACCTTCCCTCCATATCTGCAAAGGGCCATCCACTTTCACAATAAATACAATCAGACTCTCGCAACAATTGTAGGGGTGCATGCAAATTTTACCTGTTAAACTTTCTCCATGCGTACCGACCCCAATATCTTTTGGTACTAAACCTTGGATGTTGTTTTGTTGTAGACTTTCTCCATGCGCATTTACTTGTTTTTTCCCTTGTTGAACTATGTTTTTGTAACTTTATATTTTTAATAAATTTGGAAAGTGTTCCCCGGTGCTTTCCCCACTCCAAGTGGCTTCTTCGAAAAAAAAGCAGTTTTGACATGCAACAAGTGGCACAAATCCATTTACAACAGAGAAAATATATGAGAGCTTTGACATTTGCAATGAATGTTTCAAAGTCAACTCTGCATAGATGGTTTAAAAGTAAACAGATAGGAAGACACTAAAAACAATCAAGCTAGTGTTAACAAAAACATGGAAAATGAAGAGGTTAGAGTTTTGTTTAAGTCATATAAGGCATCACACATATCACATTGGCCCGACTTTTCATGATTTCCCATTCACATAGATGAAAAGTGGAATCGGCTAGTTAAAAGAGGCCACCAATTTGTACTCTTCCCACGTAGGATGATTCGTATGGGACCCCACAGTCAAAGAAATGTATTCCTAAAATAATGTTCAATGCTGATGTTGGGAGGTCCGTAATAGCAAACAATGGGGATGTATCGTGGGATGGGAATATATGCATTTCCCCAATCACATATTAAGATATAACAAAGAGATCAAACAAGAATAAGGTTGTTGGGACCTTAGAAACTAAGGCCACTTTAAGTATTACTAGGCGAATCATAAAAGAAAATGATTTTGAATAACACTTTGCCATCAATCAAACAAAAGCGGTCAAACTTAGAAGATAAGTTAGTCATCATACATCAAGACGATGCTAGACATCGTATTGATGTTGTTGAATTAAAATCTGTGAATCAGGAACAAAAGATGGATGGAACATCTAATCGAGATGTCAACCACCTAATAATCTATATTTAAATATACCAGACTTAGATTTTTTCAGGGCAATTGATTCCACAAGGGATCAAAAGGCCCCCGAAAACACAATGGACTTACACATGCAATCCAAACATGTTTTGATGAGCTTACACAACAGACATCAAATGAGGTATTTCTGAGCTATCAATATGTCATGTAAGAAATCATGAAAGTATAAATCAGAATGGAGGCAACAATTTCACGCTCAAGCGTGTTGGGAATGACAAATTGGAGAGATAAGGTTTGTTACCCCAAGATGTCCAAATCAATGTTGAGTTGTATCAGACAACTAAGGCAGTCATGGAAGGACAACTGACAACAAACACATCTAAATGAAATCAGTTCATGCATGAAGATTAAGAGGATTTTCAAGCCTGAGCTGTCTACACTTCTGAACTGAGCATAACATACTAAGTTAAGTTCAATTTTTGCTAATTTTGGTTGTTTTTGTTAGTACATTGGATGTAGAAGAACTATGTGATGTACTGTTTCTTGTTTGTACTTCTACACACATGAGAGTACTAATTTTTGAAGTACCCCCAATGGTTGTGTACAATTTTCATTCAACATAGTTGGTAACTTCGTAATGTGAAGAATTCCACACCAATGTTTATATTTTAAACCTAATAAGGGATGTTTTGCACACATTATGGCCCCTACACTATAACCATTATAGAATACCCGTGCACATTCAATTTGTGGGTTGCATAAGTGTAATGGTTACACAACATTCACAATTAATTGTCATAATCCATATTCATATCACACAACAACAATCGAAAACACATTTCATTCAGAATTAATGGGGCAAACACCGAATTTAACATCTCACACCAACATTGGCTAACAAAAATCAAAGAGTAACATCATTCATTACAAGCAATGTTACACAAGAAAAGGCCAAAATCATCATGAGTCACAAAGATTGGCCAATAGGCTTCACACATGAGGGTAAACAACACAAAATCAGAACAATCACATAAATTGGGAGACAGATAACAAAAATTCATTGTCATTTAGGAGTATTGTCCGACATGTTCCCCTATTTATGTTTCCCACCGTAGCCTTCACCGCTTTGACAGAGCTTCCTTTGCCGCTTCCCCATCATAGACATCCCCTTCATCACCTTCCTCTGCCACCAGTGCTGAACTCACCTCTTCTCCTGTTTCTTTGTCCATGTCGTCCAACCCCATCACACATATCAGAAATTAGGCTCTCATCGTATTTCTTACGCATGCACCACCCTGGATCTGTCTCAGATGAACAAGAATATTCGAAACGAACAATGAACAATTTAAAAGGAACGAACTCATCTTTTAGATATGATTTTGGAGAACTTTCTGATCCAGGGTTGTAGAGGAGGGAACTACTGAGTGAGGAGGTAGCAGTTCAAATCCACCGATTCACGAATCAGTTCGTCGGTTCGCAAGTCACTGCTCTAAAATAAGTCCCGAGTCAAGCTTTTTAATTACTTGAGTCGAGCTGAATTCCGGTAGAACTTAAATATGACTAACTCGAGTTGAACATTTTAAAAAACGAGTTCCGCCTGTTCCTGAATACATGCTCACCCTGGGATCCCAGGATATACGCACTTTGTTGGGAGTTCCGGCCAGAACCCAAAACGTCACACACACTGACACACCTCTGAAACTTTGTTGCAAAACGTACCACAAACGATTCTCACCGTCCCCGTCTACAGACCGATTCAGCGCGCTAAAGGCGGCGACTGAAGGCCGTATATGTGCTTCACAAGCTGTAACTGCTATTCAAAAACCCTAAATCAGGTCTGTGTAATATCTGGATATTGCTTCATGCGACATGTTGTGTTGTTTTAATGATGAAGATCTACCGTGATCTCTAACTGCAGAAGAAACAGATACTTGGCTTTAGTAATCATCATGTACATAAAACAGGTAACTAAGAAGCGTCAGTCTGTAGGTTCAAATTGTCTATGCACCTACATATTTCAGTAGCATCCAAATATGAATGATTTAATTCAGTGTCTGGGTATCTATGCTGTAGACGTATGCTTCTCTGAAGTTTTCATGATTGCATGCATGACTGAAGCTTTCATTTTTCGGGGATATTTTTGGTGCAGATTATTATTGAAGGGTTCAAGAGCTACAGGGAACAGATAGCTACTGAACCATTCAGTGCAAAAGTTAACTGCGTTGGTAATTATGCTTCATATAACTTCTACTGTGCATAACATCACAAGTACTATTCATTTTCATAATACTTGTGAACCAACTCAACAGAGGTGCATTATGGTGCTCAAAGTTCAGCACTCTTGTTTATGGCTGGCATTTTTAACTGAACAACCTAACCGAACCGACTTGTATGGGACCTGAAAGTTGGTCCCCAAATTGTAAATCGGTTTAGTAATGGTCCTTAAAGGCTTAAACATCGATTCAAACCAAACCGAACAGATAATTCATTAAATAATACTCCCTCCGTCCCGCAATTAAGTTACCACTTTCCTTTTTGGGCAGTCCCTAAATTAAGTTCACACTTCCTTACTTTCCTTATTCGGCAAATTATCTACATCAAAACAGTGTCAAACAGTGCAAAACAGTGTCAAACAGTGTCCAAACAGTGTTTGAACAGTGCAAAACAGTGCACTCCACAGTAAAGTCAATTTTCTTTTCTTAATATGTGTGAAGTCAAACCGGGAACTTAATTGGGGGATGGAGGGAGTAATGAATTAATGAACTTGTAAGTGTGCGCTTTTGCGCTTCATGCGCCTTGTGCGCTTTTTGTGCGCTTTTGCTGCACCTTACTAAGGTCTTAAAGCGCCCACCCTTAGTAGCGCCTCCCCTAGTGCGCTTAAGGCTCAAGCTCTCACTTTTTGCTACCTTGGTAGACTAGTAGTAGTAATGACAATGATAATGATAATATAATAATAATATTATAGTAGTAGTGCCAATTAACCATCAATGTTTAGTTTAATTATGTTGAGTTATGCAATATCTTATTTTATAAACCAGCGTTTTAGGCCAATTAATTTGTAATACGAATCCAGTTACTAGAGTTTGGTTTCGTGTTCAATCGCCATACAATGTTTATCCATTTACTTTTATTGTTATCTTTTTTACGATTTGTCCCACACCGGAAAGAGATGAAGGACCCTCTCCTTCAACTCTTAATGTATATGAGTGCTTCCCTAGTTGCCCTATCAATGAAGAATTGTAGTTGTTATTGAGTTGCTCTTAAGGCCATTTGGTTTTGCATGAGTCATGTTTGTCCCATTCCTTTTTTGCATTTACCTTGCTTAGTTCTAAGTCTAATCAGGTGATTGAAAGCTTACGCCTGCATACAATAAGCACTTTTACATCTTGGACACACCACTCTGTCTTGTTAGGCCAAGATTAATATGATGAAATCTATCCAAATCAAAGTCTTCTAGAGTTGGCTACATGGTTTGTACGTGTTCATTCAATTCATCTTTTTGCTGCGAGTATTTGTCCTAAACATAGATTCCTGTACAAGTGATGAATCAATGATGTAGGTCATGGAATCGATAGCTATTGGTTTCACTGTCTTAGCAAAAAGGTTCATATCAATCATATGTTTTATTTGCTTTGATGATAGATGAACCCTCTTCAATGTTTTGGCAATTGTATCCGTCAAAATAACTCATAGTACTTGCTAATTTTTTCCGAGGACTTTTTTATATTACTAAATATCGAATAGGTTATTTTTCTGCATACCTTTTCATGGATAATTCATTTTTCAACAAGTTACTTATGTGACTGCCTCTCATCTTCCATTTCATGCAGTTGGTGCTAATGGATCTGGCAAATCTAACTTTTTCCAGGGTGGGTAATATTGACATTGTTGTGTCTGACATTTATTTGTCTAATTGCTGAAGGCTGTCTTTGTTGAATCTTTTTTTCTTATGTATTGTGTACTTTTCTTTTTCTTGGTTCACACTTTCTCTCAGCAATGCGTTTTGTCATAAGTGACCTCTTCCATAACCTGCGCAGTGAAGAAAGGCACGCCTTACTTCATGTATGCTTTTGGGAGTTTTATTACTTGACTCATCTCCATTGTCATCATGACATACATGTAAATGATCATTGAGTTTGCACTTTTTACTGTTCAGGAAGGTGCAGGACACCAAGTATTATCTGCTTTTGTGGAGATCGTGTTTGACAATTCAGACAATCGACTCCCGGTATTTTTTGATAATTTATCTCAATTCACTTCAAATTGAAACGTTCTATTCTATTTGAAGGCTGTGCTTTTTGATGTATGAAGCATATTTCACTCTAGTTAGGAGTATCATAGTTATCACAACGTCGCCTAGGCATTGATTAGGCATCTTGGTGATTAAGGAGCTCGTCATGCTTTTTCAAAGTCTCTTAGCTGTCCCACAGTGTCGATTCAACTTAATTTTCCTCTTCAGTAACACAGAGTATTTTCCCAAGTTCAGACTTGATTTGTAATACTAGTACCATTCTTGTAAAGCCACGACATTTGGAATTTTCTTGCTATTGAAGTGGAAACATATTTTTTTTGAAAGGAATAAACTCAATTATTATTAATAAGATCAATGTTTAAAACATTAACAATAAAGTCAGGAGGATTGAACAACCAATAATAACAATCAGACATAGAACACACAACATTAGCCAATGCATGGGCCGCCCTATTCGCTGATAGTCTAATATGAGAGGACATACTCATAAAACGTGAAGCCAATTCTCTAATGTCTGCCGCCACCAAATCTGCCGTTGAAGCACTGACCCCCCCCTCATGACTTCGAAAATAGCCCGGAAAGTATCAGACTCCACATCAATCAAATCCCATCTTTGTTGGCGAACCCAACTGAGAGCCTCCCTGATACCAACTAGCTCAGCCTCCCAAGGAGATAACTTCCGCGGCCATGGAATAGCTACCCCCGCTACAAAGTCACCCTTTTCATCTCTTAAGATCCACTGCAAGCCGCAAATATTTCCTTTAACCGCTGCATCGATGTTGAGTTTTAGCTTTCCCCGATCTGGTCATCTCCACACCAAAGAGGGCCTCTGCACCGAGCTCCCAGAATGGTTGGTTTCCTTCTGCACTTGCTCCCACCCAATTACCAAAGCTTCAGCTTGTTGCATAATCTGCTTCCCTTGCATCTGAACACCCTGCCAAACTAGCTTATTTCTTTCGCACTAAAGACCCCAACATCCCCAAATCATTTATCTCAAATCTTCTCTCCGCCTTGATTGAAATTCCTTCTGCAATTGAACAAGAAAGCTTGTTTCATCTTGATTCACCCAGCCTTTCGACGCCCAAGCCTTCTTAGCAACAAGACATTGAACAGAGAGATGCAACAAAGTCTCCTCGTCGTTGCCGCAGAGCCCACAAGCTGTAAATCACCCAACTCTCCTACTCCTTAGATTGATTGCTGTCGGCAAGCATCCGCTACACACCTGCCAAAAAATTGTTTTAATTTTAGGTGGTAAACTCCTCTTCCACATTTCCGTCCAACCCTTCCACTCCCCTCCAACAAACTCTCCTATCAATCTTCGGTAGCAACTTCGAACAGAGAAACGGCCTTCAGGCTCCCACCGCCAGCATAACCTGTCCGAAACCATACTCAAACTTAGGGGAATACTTCGAATCAGAAAACAGCACCGGAATTAAAAATATCCTGAAGTAAATCAACATCCCACTCCTTATTAGAATAAGAGAGCAAATTTTTCACCGGAGCATCCTGTAACCCCACACCAGGCATAGTAGTAATTCTCGGATTTTCTAAATCAAGTAACCAAGGCTCCGTCCAAATATAAATGGACTTACCATCCCCGACACCGGCGACACGTCAACTATACCTTTGTTTAATAAGATTTTAGGCATGAAAAATACTTCTCCACATAAAAGAAAGGTTATGTTGGAGTGAAGCAAAAATAAAATCACTCCTAGGATAGTACCGGGCCTTAAAAACCCTTCCAAATAACGTTCCGTGTTCAAAAAAAATCTCCAAGCCTGTTTAGCCAACATCGAAATATTAAAATCACGGAGATGCCTAAAACCCATGCCCCCAAACTTCTTAGGCCTACTCATTACTTCACAATCCTTCAACCTAATCTCCTTACCTTCCTTTCTATTCCACCAATACCCATTATTTAAAACCTCAATCTCCCTACATAATTCGGTAGGTAGAAGAAACACATCCATGGCGTAGGTTGGCATAGCCCGCACCACCGCTTTCAGAAGAACCTCCCTGCCCGCCCGGCAACAAGAATATGTTATTCCAGTGAATACGATTGACCACTCTCTGTCTACTATACCGTATAATCTCCCTTTTATTATGCCCCACCAAGGCCGGTAACCCCAAATAGCGTTCCTACCGCTCATCAATTCCCACCCCCATCATCTCAGTTAAACCATCCCTATAATTTGCTGATACATTTGCACGGAAGAAAATTTTGGACTCATTAAAATTGTTTACCTGACCGGAAGCCCCTTCATAATCTAGCAACGTCTCCTTCACAATAGTAGCCTCCTCATGGGACACACTACAAAAAAGTAAGCTGTCATCCGCAAAATTCAAATAAAAAATTCTCGGCGCACCCCGAGGGACTGCCACCCCATGTAATCGACCTGCAGCTTCATGTCATTGAAGGAGCGCACTCAGCGCCTCTGCAACTATAATGAATAAATAAGGTGAAAGAGGATCGCCTTGTCTCAAACCACGCGACGGCCAAATTGGCCCTATTCGTGAGTCATCGAAAGGAATGAAATAAGACACATAAATAAGGCACTCCATTACTAGGCAAACCCGTCTATCAGCAAAACCTAGGTGCCTCATCATTTCTTCCAGGAAAGACAATTCTACTCTATCATAGGTCTTATCCTAATCAAGTTTAAGAGCCATTAAACCGGTCCTCCTCGGCCTATTTCGTTTCAGAAAATGCTGAGTTTTAAAAGCTCACATAATGCTATCTATAATAGCACTGCCAGGAATAAAAGCACTCTATTGCTCCGAGATACACGAGTGAAGCAGCTCTCTCATTCTGTTAGCAGTACCTTGGACTTTTTTAATAAATAACATTACATAAGGCTATTGGTCTCCAATCACCCAAAGACTCTGGCTTCTTCTTTTTGGAATAAGCACAATATTAGTATGCTTAATTTTCTCTGGTAGTTTGCATGTCTCAAAATCTGCCCCACAAAAGCTAACCAAATCCGGCTCAACAACATCGCAATAATGTTGGAAAAAGCCGGTCTCAACCCATCCGGCCTTGGAGACTTATGAGGATACATGGCAAACAATGCCTCCTTAACCTCCTCTCCCCTAATTGGCCGTAATAACTCAAGATTATGCTGCTCCCCCAATTTCGAAGGAACACAATTGAACACAAAATAACCATTCCTCCGGGCTTAGGGAAAATACTGAAAAAATAGTCGCTAATCAGTCGCCCTATTTCAGCTCGGTCACCCTCCCAAGTACCATCATCCCGCTTAAACCCCTCAATTATGTTCTTCCTTATGCGATATTTAACTAAATTGTGGAAGTAGCGGGTATTGAGATCCCCCCTTTCACCCCGAGTTCTTAGCCCTTTGCCACCAAAATTGGTTTTCCTTCTCCAGAAGCTCAAGACACTCATTTCACTCTTTGGAATTCACCAATTCCCCACGGGTCCACCCTCCTTAGAAGAAATTCAAGACATTTTCTACAAAAGCCAATACCCTTCCCATAGGATCCCACCTTGTCACGTCCCCAATCACTGACTGCTTTCCCACAAATCTCCACCTCGTCATAATCCCATGCCCACAGCCCACCCCCCAACTTCTAGCAACTATCTCGCGACAGTCATCTTCATGAAGCCACACATTCTCAAACTTAAATCTACGTCTCCGACAAACCGCTTGAGTAGGAAAGAGATGAATGGATAAGGCCAAATGACTAGGCGAACCATCCAACGACTCTGCTACGACACTTCCAAATAATTCTAACCAACTTTCCGAAACTAGAATTCTGTCCGGCTTCTCCTCCACTCAATTAGGAAAACCCTGCACCGTTCCCAATAAACTGACAGCCTTGGGAAGAAAAATTCTGCAACCCACAAGCTCAAACAATCTCGTGGAAACCTCTCAGAAGCCACAGCAGATGAGGAATCCGTCCTCTTTTTTCAGACTCAAACACGAGATCATTAAAATCCCCCATGACCAGTCACAGAGACGACTCCCCCAAACTCAAGGATTTAAGTACATCCCAAGACTCCCTTCTCCTGCTTCGTTCAGGGCACCTGTAGAAACCAGTGAATCACCAAATAGGATCCTCAACCTCTAGCCTTACACGAGCATCAATAAAATGGCTGGAAGATCCTAGAATGTTAACTTGGACCCCCTCGCCCCGAAGTAAAGTTAGACCGCCTCTATGACCTCTCTAGGAACAACAAAGCAAGAATGCAGCTTCACCTTCCTCATCACTTCCTCCACACTCAAAATATTAGAAAAAGTTTCCATTAAAAAACCAAAGTCAGCTGCTTTAGGTGAACTAAGTCTGCCAACGCATGAACTATCACGAGATTGCCAAGCCCGCTACAGTTCCAACTCCGACAACTCATGGTTCCCGGCGGGTCTGGAGTCCAAAACCCGCCGTCAATCCATTTTTGGAAAAAATATCTCCATATAACCTGTGTGTTTCCTCTTGGCCCCCCATCAGAATGTAAACCACCACTGCCTGATGCTCCATCCTGCCACACAGCCAAGCTTGTCCCTAGCTGCTTATTGCACGAAGAAGGAACACTAACCAGGTCCTTTTCCTCTGTACCAGAGGCCCCTGCTCCTCGCATCACCTGCCTCTCTTCAGTAGGGTGCAGAAGATTCCCTTTGCCATCGGCTAACCATCTACTACCCCGGCTAGTCCTCCCTTTTCTGCCACCTACCTTCAGCCAAACCCCAAACGTTTTCCTTTGACCCTCAAACCCTTCATCAAACCGGCGTGGACACAGCCTGTCAACATGACTCAGTAAACCGCAAGTGAAGCAAAAATGTGACAGCCTTTCATTCTTCAGTTCCACCTCAAAACTCCCATCTCTTTTTAAGAACCAGACAATGTTTCAAAAGTTTATCAATATCAATAAGAACCTGGATTCTCATGCACTCCTTCCAGCCACCCTTGAAGTTTTGCGTGGCCGCACACACAAAACTCCCCACCCGATTGCCTAAGAATTGGGCCATCTTTTCTGTGAAGAACATTGGTAACCTGTACACCTGAATCCACAATATCTCTTGAGACAATGGTACCAAGTTGGGAGTATCCGCAGGACCCTGTTTATGTAACACCAACAGAGAATTGTCAAAGAACCATAGTAGTCAATGGCGAGATATGGCGCGCACCATATGTGCCATCGCCATGAAAAAATGGTCGCTGCCATAGCGCCATATGCGCCATCGCCATGCGCCATGAAAATTGCCTTTGAGCCATGGCGATCGCCATGCGCCATGACAACTATGCAAACAACCATGGACCATCCGCAAGGACCCCTTCAACGTCAAACTCGTGAAAAAAACTGAAATATGTATCGCCGATCGTTTATGTCTCGAATATGAACTCCCCTGCCTGGCCTCCAGATTTCGGGTACGTTGTCTCTAAAATAGGGAAACTTGATGTACTTATCTGTAAGTAAACGGCCTACCAAGCCATTGGACAAAACCACCGGTGTCTCTTCCAGAATCCAGAAGGTCGTCGTCGATCTCAATGCTCTCAAGTTCTACATCCTCCAGGTTTAACCGAGCTCAAAGATCCTCCACCGAGTCAGCCATGTAGACGAAAAACCAGAGCCAGCAACGTAAAAAATCACAGAAAGCAAGAAAAGGATGCAGGAACCCTTGATGACTAGGGAAGAAGACCACATGCAATATAATTTTTAGTAACCAAAACTGTAGCTTTATTAATCAGTAGAACAAAGTAGTCGAAGGCTAGCTTGTGCCTAGCTCTTTCTGGGTTTAAGTGGCTGGTAAAATAAAAGTTATCTGACTTATTTCTAATAGGGTGAGCATCTAACTTCTCTTATACCGCAATACAACTTACTTACCATTTAAGTTTATAAGCAAACATATCCAAAATCGGATCTTGTTTGGAACAGGAGATATTAAAGTATCACATCAGGTTTATATATATTAAGTTATAATTGGATCTTCAATGCCTATGGGGTATATCCATTTTTATATATAGACAAAAGGTATGCCTATTTCTCATCACATTGTTTTTTCACAAAGTGTTTGATGATATTGCTTTTTGGCAGGTCGATAAGGAAGAAGTGCGAATGAGAAGAACAATTGGGCTCAAGAAAGATGAGTATTTCTTAGATGGAAAACATATCACGTGAGTATCCAATGGTCAATCTAAGAGTGTTTGTTACTGCTACCCGTCACTCTTTAATGACTGCTGATTGAAATTTCCAAAACCTTAAACAATGTTGTAGGAAAACTGAAGTCATGAACTTACTGGAAAGTGCAGGATTCTCTCGATCGAATCCATACTATGTTGTGCAGCAGGGAAAGGTTTGTTTCTGTTGCATTTCGTGTTTTAGTGTTTTAGATTACGTTTTGCTTGCGCTGCACATTCTTCCGTTTATTTGCAGATAGCATCATTGACAGTGATGAAAGATCCAGAGCGACTTGATCTACTGAAAGAAATTGGTGGCACACGAGTCTATGATGAGAGACGCCAGGAAAGTCTAAAGATTATGCAAGAGACAGGTAAATCAATTTTTTTCTCACACTGATTTTTTTAGTTATTTACTAGCATCTATAGTGTTCAGGTAATAAGAAGAAGCAAATTATTCAAGTTGTGCAATACATGGATGAAAGGTTGAGAGAGCTTGATGAAGAAAAAGAGGAACTTAAAAAATATCAGCAGCTTGACAAACAGAGGAAATCTTTGGAGTACAGTATCTTTGATAAGGAACTTCAGGATGCAAGGCAGAAATTGGCAGATGTAAGCTACTCTATACACTTCTTGTAAAAAGTATGGTAAAGACTTTTAAAAAAAAATTCCATTCTTATTGGCGTTTTTTGTAGTTCTCCCATGATTTAGATAATGTGTGAGTTATGTGATGTCTGTTGGAAAATAAATCTATGGCAGAGCTTCAAAATAACCAAAGTTGGATATTTCATTTATGTAAACATCAATTTCAGAGAGAAAATTATAGTTTTATGGATTGCAAAATATACTTATAAATTTGGGCCGTTTTTTATCTTCACAAGGAAGCTTGAAATGCATAACTGGATTCATGGGATTACTATATCTTCTCAAAAAGGACCTTTTGGAAAGCTACTTCTACAAAATTTCAAGCACCCTCTTGGTGTAGGCATTTTGAGAGAGTTTTTATAACTACAATGTTAATTGCTGCAGGTTGACAAGACTAGGAATCAAATTTCTGAAACATCTACTAAGATGTATGAAGAAGTGCTGATGGCCCACGAAAGGTCTAAGGAACTTGAAAAGTTGTCCAAAGATCTGACCAAGGAAATTCAAATTCTAAGCAGGGAAAAAGAAGCGATAGACAAACAGCAATCAGCAGCTATCAAGAAGCATACTGAGCTTGAGCTTGATGAGAAGGACCTTCGGGAGAAGATCAGTGCAAATTACAAAGCCAAGGTATTCTCGTTACAACTATATTAAGCTGGTAGTAACATTCATATAAATTGAAATTTGGTTTACCTAATTTTATCCTTGCGCTATATATTTTTAGGAGGAAGCAATTAAACAACTTCACCTTCTAGAGAGCGAAATTCAGAAGTCAACTGATGCACTCAACAATATTAAGCCTTTTTATGAGAAACAAGTTCAAGAGGAAGATGAGATAACAAAGAGGTATAGCCAGAAAAAGTCTTTATTTTTCATGGTTAGAGATTCAAATCCTTCAAAAAAGCCTCTTTTTTAGTAACACAATTAAGGTTATAGCCTCATACATTGATACTTTCCTCAAACGTTGACTTTTGTGCTCGAGGTACAACCTTTTAAAAAACAATAAAGCACCTCTTCTCAATGGGATGGCCCTCTAAAGTCATGTTAGGGTCCTAGAAGTATTATGAAATCTGAAACAAGCTGGATTACTTGTAATCTAGTAGTTTAGGACTCCTAGAACTAAATCTAGTAGTTAAGGTTTATTAGAGATATGAGTTCTAGTGTCCAGAGGTTATAATGTGCCCTTTAAGACTGTGAGTACTTCTTAATATTATAATAATTCTAAAGTCTTATTTAGTCCTTTTCATGTATATGCCAATTTGTACCCAGCCCAAGTTGTTTTTGAAGCTGAATGCCCAAGACTTTTCTTAAAATCCCCAGATCCCATGAGCTCAAATACAAAACTGGTCTTACACACCCAATAATTGAAGACCCTTAATGTGTAAGTTTTGAAAATTTGATTCCTCAAGGCCTTCATAGGAGATCTTGAGCAACACATTAGCTTCCTCGAGATTCGAGTGTGGGTACAAGAACGATTCTTGATCGACCCTTGTATTTAAGAAAAGCTAGTATATTCAAAGAAAAAGTGGTGAAAAGTTACAGGAATAAGAATATCTATAGTAGTAATAGTTTAGGATGTGTAGAAACCTACTTTTAGGTCCTATCCTATTAGTAAAACTTAAAGTGTGTGTAATATGCAAAACTGTTTAAAAGATATTAGAATAAGTATACGAATATGCTTTAGAATGTTTAGAAAATACTCTAGGATATTATTATTGTATAGCATCTTTATAGTAATGTTATATCTTCGTAATCTTTATTTATAGGGAAAACTGTCAAATAGGTCCTCCTACTATATCAAAAAAGTCAATTAGGTCCTCGTACTATGAAATCATTCGATCAAGTCCTTCAACTATGAAAAAATGTTCAATTTATCCTCTTAGCCGGTTTATAATGGGTGATACCGGTAAGTTGATGACTTGAACATCCACGTAGATCTTTTTCTTTATTTCTTCTTCTCCCCTTCACTATCTTTCTCCCAATCGTTCTGGCTCGCTCCTAAGTTTTTTTCTTTTCTTTCTTTCGTCTTCTTTAATTACTTTAACTCTCTTTCCTTATTTCTTTCTTTATATCTTTCTTCCATCCTTCGTTAGTTCTATTTCGTTCGATGGGCGGCCAGCAATGGAGGTTGGGAAATTTTTAGCCGACGGGGGCAGACGACGGTTAATGTGTTGGGCGACGAGTGGCGAAGTAATGGGCAAAGAGTGGTGCACGAAGGTGATTGGAGAAGATGTCGGAAACAGTCGACAACCGACGACTGCTCAGGAAGTTTTGGGCGTCGGCCGACACGTGTCGGCAGTTGGAAACTTGTGGGCAATGGCCATAGACGGCGGTTTAGGAATATATGGGCGCCGGCCATAGTGCCCTTCTGCGGAAAGATAATGACAAAAAGAAAATAAAGAAAGTAAGAAACTCATCGTGACGCCGAATGCAGAAACCCAGGAAGAAGAAATTGTGGGGGAGAAGAAAGAGAGAAAAGGAAAAAGGGAAAAGAAAAAGAAAATTAAAAATGAAATAGAGAATGGAAGGAACAGGCCAACTGGACATGGGAAACCGGCTAACTGGCATACAACCGGTGAAAAAGTCATTTTGATTCTTTTTTAATACTTTAAGGACTTAATTGATTCATTTAATAGTACGAGGAACTAATTGACTTTTTTGATAAAGTAGGAGGACTTATTTGACAGTTTTCCCTTATTTATAAAGACTTAACCTTTGGTGGATCTTCAGAATTGTGTTTATCAGAAAGGGAAAGAAAGATCAGAAGAAAATAAGAGAATAGTTTGGCTGAGCAAAAGTCTGCCTTTTTCCATACTAGATGATACATATAAATGGAATTACAGATCATGGGAAATAACTGCTGCTATGTGGACACCACTAAGCCCACTAAAAGTAACTGCCTGCTGCTGCCTAATAATTAGCTATACTAGGAAAATAACAATACTAAATAACAGGACCAACATAAATAAAGGAAAGTAACGAGTCCTAATCCATATGGGATTCCATCCCAGCACTTAAAGCATGCACATAGACTTGATCGTTGAAGTATTTGGGATTACGCCTACCCCCACGAACACTCTTCCGAACCTCTGTGTGCTCATCAATACCTCTCCCTGTAGCTCGGACCTTGTCCCCAAGGTCCAGACTTGGAAATTGGCACCGTATGAGCTCCAAGTCTTCCCAAGTTGCATCATCTGCAGGTAGCCCCGGCCATTTGATCAACACTTGGTCAGAGGGAGCATGGCCACGGACGACGGTGCGGAAGTCCAGCACGCGTTCCGGGTGAGGTGAGGGAATGCCTTCGTCAACAATATCAGGCAGTGTTGGAGAAACGAGACTGCTGCCAATCTGTTTGCGAAGAAGAGAAACATGAAATACAGGATGAATCTTGGCTCCCGGGGGCAAATCCAGGTGGTAGGCAACCTGCCCAATGCGAGTAGTAACACGAAAAGGACCATAAAACAAAGCACTCAGCTTGTGGGATGCCCGCCGGTAGAGAGAACGTTGCCGGTATGGCTGGAGACGGAGATAAACCATATCACCTACATCAAAGGTAACGTCCCGGCGTCCCTGGTCAGCATATTTCTTCATGCGTTGAATAGATGCTGGAAGTGTAGTCTTCAACTGAGCCAGAATACTATCACGCCCCCCATAAGGCACTGATCAACCTCATTAACAGGAGTCGAGCCAGGTGAATAACGGTGTATGGTTGGTGGCAGACGTTCGTAAAGAGCCTGAAACGGAGTCATACATGTAGAGATGTGATACGTAGTATTATACCACAATTCTGCCCATGGCAGATATAGGACCCAATGTCGTGGCTGAGTATGAACGAAACACCGTAAGTACTGTTCCACACAACGATTGATCACCTCTGTTTGGCCATCGCTTTGGGGATGATCTGCAGTAGACATTTTGAGAGTTGTGCCAGAAGCAATGAACAAGGCCTGCCAGAAATGACTCGTGAACACAGGATCTTTGTCAGATACAATGGACTTGGGAATTCCGTGTAATTTAACCACTCCATCTACAAATGCAATAGCCACAAAACGGGTAGTGTATGGGTGGCGTAAGGGTAGGAAATGGGCATATTTGCTTAAACGGTCAACCACCACTAGAATCATTGTCTTTCCATGAGATTGCGGGAGACCCTCAATAAAATCCATGGAAAGATCATCCCACACTTGGTCTGGTACAGGTAGGGGCTGGAGGAGTCCAGCCGGAGCTAAGGAAGAGGACTTGGTGCGTTGGTAAACGTCACAGGAAGCAACAAAATTTTCCACCGAACGATACATGTGGCCAAGAAAAAACTTGTGAGAGGCGTTTAAAGGTACGGAGAACCCCAGAATGGCCACCCATAGGTGTGCTATGAAATTCAAACAAGAGTGTCGGGATAAGGGTTGACTCCGGCGATAAAACAATGCGACCCTTGAACCGAACAAGGCCCTGATGATCTGTGAAATGAGATGCAGTAGTGTGCAAGATCTTGTCACGTAGGTGCTGGAAGTACGGCAAACGGGTCTGCTCATCCCTAATTTGGACCCAAATATCAGCCTTAACACTGGATAAAGTGTTCAAGGTGGAGGTATCCTCTGGTGAACATCGTGAGAGTGCATCAGCCACTTGATTTGAGGTTCCTGGATGGTATCTGATTTCATAATCATAGCCCAAGAGCTTGACAACCCACTTTTGTTGGTCTGGAGTGCTCAAACAAGTGTTTTAGGCTGCGTTGGTCGGTGAGTATGTAGAATTTACGACCAAGCAGATAGGTCATCCACAGTCTCACTGCATGTATGCATATAGGATAGCCAACATTTCCTTGGCATAAATAGACCAAGACAACTTAGCATGTCCTAGCGCCCGACTCATAAATGCAAGAGGTCTTCCGTTCTAAGATAGCACCGCCCCAATGCCGTGTCCTGACGCGTCGGGTTCGACATAGAAATCAACATCAAAATCAGGCATATCAAGGACCGGAGTTGTACTCATCGCAGTCTTGAGCCGTTCGAACGCGTCACTGGCAGCTGGAGACCATTGAAACTGCCCTTTTTTGAGTAAGTCTATCAATGGTTTAACAATAATGCCATAGCCACGGACAAACCTGCGGTAATAACCGGTTAGCCCCAAAAATCAGCGAAGTTCTGTCACTGAGGTTGGTGTTTGCCAATTCAGCATCGGTTGAATCTTCTCGGGATCAACTTTCACGCCTTTGACAGAAATGAGATGCCCCAAGTATATTAACTCTTTCAACCCGAATGCACACTTTGAAAATTTTACATAAAATTGTTGCTCCTGAAGAACTGAAAATGCTACACGCACAATCACACATGCTCTAAATGAGCCTTCCAGGTAGGACTGTAAATGAGAATGTCATAAAAAAATACCAGGATAAATTTCCTTAAATAAGGCCGGAAAACACTGTTCATAAGGGCTTGAAACGTCGAAGGAGCATTACATAGCCCAAATGACATGACACTATACTCATAATGTCCTTTGTGTGTGCGAAAGGCCATTTTTGGTATGTCCTCAGGGCGCATCCGTACCTGGTGGTATCCCGATTGAAGGTCTAGTCGGGTGAAGTAGGCTGCTCCGTGCAGCTCGTCCATGGTATCTTCTATGGTAGGGATGGGGAATCGATCCTTGACTGTGAGGGTATTCAACGCTCGATAATCGGTACAAAACCGCCACATCCCGTCCTTCTTCTTAACAAGCAAAACTGGGGATGAGTAGGGGCTTGTACTTGGTTGAATGATTCCTTTGTTAAGCATCTTGGTCACCTGTCTTTCAATGTCATTCTTTTGGAAGTATGCATAGCGGTACAGTCACACATTCACCGGTTCTGAGTC